ACATTAAATATTAACAAACTAGTAAACTAAAAATCCAACAATCCAAACAAATTATACAATAACAATTTAACAAGGCAATAAATAGAAAAAAACATAACATCATCCAACATTGAGGAACCTGTTGGAGTGCCTCCAAAATTTTCTTTGCTTACATCTTTAATTTAAGTCCAACGTCTAGAATAGCTCAAAAAAAAAAAAGGTTCAAAAGTTAATCAAAGTCCACAAACAATCCAAAAGTTCAAAAAGTTAATCTACTCATCAAACTCCACAATAACTTCAATCCTTCACAATTGCTTCAATCAAACCTCAAAAACTTCATTAATCTGTGGACATGAGCAAAGAAAATATAAATAAATAACAAAAAAACTATCATCAAAATCATTATAAAAAATATAAAAAAAAACATTATAACAAAATAATATTCAAGAGTAAGAATTAAGTCTAACCTCAAGAACTTTAAAACCAAACTAACTTGGAGACAAATTAGTCCTCAACAATAGTTGCTTCTTGTGCAGTAGATGATGAAAAAAATTCTGGAAAATAAAAAATATTTTTAATGTTATTCAAAATTACATAAAAGCTAAAATCAATATTGAATAATCTTTTTAAAATAAACACATATCAAAAAAATTACCTGACTCAATTTCTTCATATTGTTCAACATCATCCATACATTCTCTAAGATTGATTGGAATTGATGAAGACCGTAACCAATTTTGTGCACAAATTAGAGCCTCCACCATCTTTGGCGTCAAAGAACTCCTAAATGGATCAAGCCCACGTCCACTGGTACTAAAAGCTGACTAGCCACTGTAGAAACTGGAATAGCCAACACATCTCTTACTATTAGAGAGAGAACCTTATACTTATTGCCATTAACCTTCCACCAATTCAAAATATCAAAGTTTGGAACTCTTGGGTCTACACAATCATCAACCAAATATTTTTCCAACTCTAATTTGTTCTCCACACTTTTTTCTGACTCCAAATGGTTAATATATTGAGAGGCAAAGAGTGTCATGGGATTTTCTTCTTCCTCTTCATCAACTTCCATCACTTAAGGAGCTTGACTTGCATATGAAGGTGCAACATTACCAACATTGTTCTTTTCAACATAATGATCAAACAAGCGCTCCAATGTTGCCTTCACCCTCGCCACTAAAATTTCTACCTTGTCATTTTCATACACTTTATTGAATGAAAATTTAAGATATGTCAACTTGTAGCGAGGGTCTAACACAACGGCAACATATAACAAGAAATCGATATTATCGAGATTTTCTCAATATTTGTCGTATTTCAATTTCATCTTATCAGCCATGTTACTCAACACTGCATCTCCACTTTTTCTCAATTGAACTAATTTAGATTGCACCGATACAAGTTGATGAAAAAAAACATTAGATGTCACATGCAAAGACCCTGAAAGTTGCAAAGTCACATGATAAAAAAGTCTTAAAAATTTCACAAAGACTCTAGCTACCTCCCAATCTTTTTCTTTAGGATATGAGATGAATCTTTTTCCTTTCCCATTGCCTCTTCCGCCATCATTCTCATTTTCAGCATCATTCTCCATGAAAAATAACTTGAATCGTGGGTCATCCTCTTCTAAACACTCAAAAGCTTTTTGAAATTTCTCGGCTACCTCCAACATCAAATAGGTGGAATTCCACCTTGTTGGAACATCAAGGCATAACAAACTTTTACAAGTAATCTTTTTATGCTCCACACAATTTTTAAAAGCTTGTAGCCTAGCTGAAGATGATTTACATATTTCACAGCTTTTCGAATCTTGGCAATTGAGTGATTTTGTTCTTTTAAACCATCACAAACAATTAAATTCACTATGTGTGCACAACATCTCATATGCAAAAACTCATTTGCCAAGATAGTGGGAGGCCAATCTTTCGTTCTTATTTTCAAAAATGTAATAGCACCATCATTACACTACAGGAAATCAGGGATTTAGCGGTGTTTAATTAAACGTCAATTTTTCTAATTTTTAACTGTGTTTTATAACCGTCGTATATGTTTTTAACCAAAACGGCACCGTTTTCTATTTAAAGGCATCTAAAAGCGCCTCCAAATGCGGTAGATACATGCGTCTCTTTTTTGAAACCCTTATTTTTTAATCTGAGCCCTCTCTCTCTTATACGCACACCACTCTCTTATCTTATACGCAGACATCTCTTTCTCTCTCTCTCAGCGACGAAGAAGACGGAGGAGATAACTCTACGAAGAAGCTTCGTATCTCGAAAGATCAATCGGCTGTTCAGAGCGATTTTGAAGTGATTTCAAAGATTCAGATCGATATCAATTGGCTGTTCAAAGTGTTTTCGAAGATTCAGATCGATTTCGAGATTCAACGCGATTTCGATGCTCCGTCGCCACCGTCATCTGCACCGGCGAGGTAGCGAGCTCCACCGTCTCTCTCTCTCTCTCTAGATCTCATATTGATTGTACCTTTATAAGGGTTTCTGGCTCTGAGTTGGTTTAGAAGTATATCGGTGAGGGCTCTCAAATGGTTAGATAATTTTTTGTTATGGCCATATTTGTCTGACTTCATTGATAACATTGTTATTGCCAAAAAATTATAATATCGTGTATATCAGGTTAATAAATCTTTTTAGTCTACAGAAGTGTTATATAGTTCCTCTTACATGTTTTTATGTGTGAATTATTTTTGTTTATGTTGCATAGGGAGCATGCTCCATCAATCATCTTTATGGATGAAATCGACAGCATTGGATCTGCTTGAATGGAATCTGGATCTGGTAATGGTGATAGTGAAGTGCAGGGGACGATGCTGGAGCTTCTCAATCAACTGGATGGATTTGAGCATCTAACAAAATCAAAGTACTGATTTCTTGTTTCATTCTCTTAAACTAGCAACATGTATGTGCACCTATGTTAGTTATCTGCTCTTTTACTCTTATGTTGACTCTAAGCAACAAATGAGTTAGCATTGGTTTATTTAATGTTAAATGCCCTAGAATCCTAGTACCATCATGTTTATTCCTCCTATTTTTTTAATTTATTTTTAAAATTTTTAATTTTTTAATACTAGAAATTAGAGATAGCATGGATAAAGAAAACTAAATTGTTTTTTAAGGTTGCTGGCTGGATTCATACTCCACTTGTTGCATTGGATATATATATCAAGTGATTAATTCATATTCATGACTCTCAAATTGTTTTTGTATTGAAAAAATGGAAACAGAGATGCCGGGAGTGGTATCGGTGTTTAGGAATAACAGGTATCATGTTATTACAATTACTGAGTACTTAAGGTTGGGTATTGGGTATTTGGTGTTTAGGAATAACAGTTTTCACTAATCTTATTTGGTTTCTCTTGCGAATAATTGATATCATTGCACTTTAGTGTGTCATGGTGAAGGACGAGTGCTCTATGTTTTGCTCATCATTCTATTCTTTTGAAGGTTATTCTTTTTGATGCCAATGTTCCTGGTGAAGGGGAACATAAAATTATGTCGAATATTCGTCTTCAAAGAAACCTTCCTGGTTATGATCCCAACACACACCATTGCTTGTATGGTTTGGTACGTCTTCTCTATCCTATCTGTGAATCTATTATAAATTTCTTTCTATTTTGCTGTTCTTTAGTGTTATTGCAATGTTCTTATTGGAATTTTAACATGTTGCCACATAACAGGATGCTGATTTAATCATGTTGGCTTTGGCTACCCATGAAGTC